GATAGATAGATAGATAGATAGATAGATAGATAGATAGATAGATAGATAGATAGATAGATAGATAGATAGATAGATAGATAGATAGATGATGTAGGCAGGCAGGCAGATATAGATATATAAATATAAATAGTCATAACAACATTCCTTTCTCAGAGAGTCAGGGGCATCTTGCCCTGCATCTGGAGAGGTATGACTGGGAGGCGTCTCCAGTTGGGAAGGTTCCTGATTGGGCCATGTGACAGACATGTGGGTGCTGGGCAGGGGCTTGGACTTTCATTTGGGTGGGGGGAAACCTGGAAACTTTTAGATTCAGATTTTTCCAGGTGTGCCAATATGACATCTCTAATAAAATGGATCTTTGAAGGACCCTTGAGCCTTGGAGTCTTATTTCATTGGGGATGTTACTTGGAACCCTGACAACATGCACATTCCAGTCTTGCACTGAAGATATATAAGTGGTCCAGGCATAATTTGGAATGCACACATTCTAAGGAGGAAGTCAGTGAAGAAACGAGGGAGCTGACAGCAGCTTGTAGCAGCAGTGATAAGGAAAGTAGTATTGGGTCAATGAGGGGAAGGCCAACATAGACTTGGACCTTAAAGTGACCTTGAATTAAAGTATGGTGGCAGCAATGAAGGGAAGGAGAAGGAAGGCACTGGGATAATCAATAAGTTGGGGCTGGTTCATAGTAACTAGAGGAGAGTAAGGTAAGTCAGTATTGCTCTACTCATCTTGCAAGATCTATTCGAAATCTGCTTTGGCAAAACGCTGGACTACCACATGATTCTAACTACAGAAGAATGGGGGACAAATCAATCAAATCTAGCTGAATTTTCCCCCATGGTAGTGTTTGTTCCATGCACAGAACAAAACACAGTTTCTCTTTCTTGCATCCCTCTACTTTGAATTAGTCATGTTCATGATAGGACTCCCACTAAATTGGAACAACAGATGTGATTATTCAACAGGGGATAGAAAGGAGGGTTGGGGAAACAGTTGGGAAAATAATGGCAGCAAACAATAACAATAAAGGAAAACATCCCAAATGGAGTCCAGAGCGTCAAAATAAAAATAAATTTCTGCCCAGTCCTAAGTGTATTCTGCATGCTACAACTGTAATGCTCCTACCTCATTTAAATTCTACTCTCAAGCCACAGTTACCAAATACCTTTGTGATTCATGTTTGCACCTACCAAAAGATTGCCATCATACAACACAATCTCGCCGACAACAGGACTGCCAGGATATGCCACGTAGGAATTGGAATGGTTGATAGAAAGTGCACATAAACCTGCCAAGAGAAAAAATAGCATGGTCAGGAAGTAATGAAGCTCAAGAGTAATAGAAGCAAGGAGTTCACAGACAATAGCACGCCTTCTGCTGGAGAAACCTAACCTGTGCTGGACCAGTTTTGGCAGCCACAAGCATTCTGGACAAAAACCGTCTGGACTCTTATGACATCTACAGGTAGCAGATGGTATAGCCCAGCAAATGTGGCATTGTGATTGATTTTCCTCTTCACATAGCCACCCTTAAACTGGATGGCTTTTCCTTTATGCGGCCACTGGATTTCAGAGATCATCAAGATACCAATGGAATCCTCCTGGGAAATTGCTAGCGAAGCTAGTTTCATGGTCTAACGCACAATAGCCACAGCAAAAGAATGTGTGTAGGCAAAGAATGAATTCACTTGGATCTGAGTGCTTTTGTTACTATACCGGAAAGAGATCAGCAGGCGCTCTAAGCAGAAAGAGTAGAAAGCCGAAGCAAAAAACAGATAGTTCAAAAACCATAGGACAGCAATTTTAAGATTTATCGCATAGTGATTATCAACTATGTAAAGAGATACCCACAGATCAAACACTATATCCAGTATTATTCCAATTTGTTTCCTTATTTGTATCACTTTATGAAAGTGAATTAAAATGTTGTGTATCATATTAGTGATAACAAAGGATCTTCATAGATTCAAAATCCTTGTATACTTTTCAAAAGTCATTGGATTTCTTGTCAAAACTGTTTAGAATGCTTCAGTATCTTGCTATATTTCTAAAGTTGTTCTAACTTTCTACGTCGTGCCAAAAGTGCTTTTTTCCAAAAGGCAGATGGACTTTCTTGGGGTTTTTTTTTCTTTGAAAATGTTTTGCTTCTCATCCAAGAAGCTTCTTCAGGTCACCATGACCTGGATAATCGAGACTCTCCATAGACAACTTTCCAAGTCACTTTGTATTTTGCTTAAAGCAAAACTGCAAAGCTGTTTCAATAAAAAAGGTCAAATTAGGGGCCGCTAATTGTATTGCTTCTTTGCAAAGATCTTCTTGGATTCCCTAAAAAAATTATTAGCCACTTGCAGATCCTACCTTTCCAATAGCACAGAACTGCATGATTCATTAAATGATTTCCTAGTGACTTTCAAAACCCTTTGTTCACAATGATTTACATGCAAAAGGTTCCATTATTAAAAATGATCTGTTCTGAGTTCGAAATGCCTATTCTGGAAATGTCTCGGCTTAAAAAAACAGGCCTATTTTACAAAACATCTGTTTTAAACTCAGAATATCTGAAACAGCATTGGGCACTTCCATTAAAACTACAAAACAAAATGGCATCCATATTGAGTTCAGTCTTGACTGTTGAGGGGCATCTATTTGGGGAGAAATCCAATGAATTGGGGGGGGGCTTTATGCATGCTCTTGTGCCCTCCTGATTATGGACTCTTAAACGTTTGTCCATCAAGCTCACATTCTTGTGCATCACTGATGCAATTCCAAATGCACATCACAAAGATGTATTTGCCAATTTGGGCTGTCTACTGAGCTCCCCAACTCTGTTTCCCCCCCTCCCCAAATAGACACACAAACATACAAAACTACCAGAAGACAATAGATGCAGTGATGACCATCCAAAGGCCCTTTTTGTTCAGATGTGTTTATAAATGCTGGCAGGGCTTTGTTTTGTTGGGCCTGGGGATTTGTTGTACGGGAACGCACGATGCTGAAATTGTTTCATGCTTTGTTCGGCTGTTGCGTTAAGCTCAAAACAAAATCTGTTTTCCATTTTGTGCACCTTCACTCTTTTTCACACACAAAAACCTTACTGCATACAGTATCCTCGTCTTCTGCAACCCACTTTACCCGATCTTTCTGCACATTTCCATGCTAGCTACCGACTCTAGCAAATGAGGGATGAATCTGCAGCACACACAGATAATCCAGTTGAAGATTCAGAAAGTGTCCGAAAGCAGAGACAAGCCTACCCTGCAGAGATAAGGTCTCTCCAACTTGCTGCATGTGTTGGACCCACAACTCCAAGAATCCTTAGGCAATTACTGGGCTGGGCAGACAAAACTAAAGATTCACAAGCTTTGCTCCATTAAGGCTCCTTAAATCTTTCAATCTCACACTTTACTTTCTCTCCATCCTACAAAGTACCTTCCTGGCCTACAGGCAAACTTAACACCATAAATACAAAACTGTTGACATTTGCAAATGTCATAATAGTCCAGCCACAGATAAGGAGCAAGTCCTTGTGTTAATACTGAACGTTCTCTTTGTATTTCTAATGCCACTTGGTGTTGGGCCAAACATAATATTTAGCAGGTTGTGTTCACAGTATTGACATGATACCATGGGAGACAGGAGGTATGGAGGTATGTCATCCTGGAACCAATTTTATGCCGCTTTAAGGAAAAGCAAAGTTAATATATTGAGGGACCATAAATGGCATTTTTTAAAATTTAGTGTGCCAAGATCACAAGGGGATAACATGTCACTGATGGCATTCCCAGAAGGGCTGATCTAGAACTGATGTAGTCCCTCCTTTTTGTTTAAATAAAATAGGTGTATTACATTTACAAGATGTTTAGCACACCTAATTCTGTGGGAGGACTGGCAAAACTTGGTGGCAGAGTTAAAAGAGGGATCAGCCTAGAATCCTTACATAGCCACAAGAGGACTTTAATTCCATTGACTCTTATTTAAGCTCAGACAGCAACAGTTATTTGACAAGATTCCTAAAAGATAGGGGTTTTTTAAAGTAATAAATCAGTATAATTGGGCCTTCATGTGTAGATGTGGTCTTTCGCACCTGATAAATTCACTACTATTTTCCTTTTCTAAAAATAGGTTTTTACACTTTCAGAATCTGACAACTTATTGCCATATTTGAGCTGGATGTTACAGAAGTTTGCAGCCACAACAGTCCTATACAACCTGTAGTTTGCTCATCCCTCATCCAGGACAATCCAAGCTCCCAAACTGTCATTTTTGTTGTTGGTGAGGATACTTCGTTGTATAACAGAAACTATACTCCAAGGAAGAAATAAATTCCCATCCTGAAAGAATTTGCTGCTATACTGGGAAAATCTATTAAGTTAATTTTTATTCTGGCCCCCATTTTCTCAAATGTAAGATCATTTTGGCCTGCATCGTTATTAGTCTGTAATTTTTATAAATTGCAAGTACATATATTTAGGTTTAAATTGTTCAAGTATACAGGTGAAACTCGAAAAATTTGAATATCGTGCAAAAGTTCATTTATTTCAGTAATGCAACTTAAAAGGTGAAATTAATATATGAGATAGACTCATT